ACACACACACACACACACACACACACACACACACACACACACACACACACTCACACACACCTACCTCAGTGTCATTGTTGAGGTTCCACAGGTCCAAGCGGCCCATGCCATCCACGGCGGCGAAGATGGCGGGGTGCACAGGTGACCACATGACATCATACACATAGTCTGCGTTGTCCTCAAACGAGTAAAGAGGCTTGTTTTGCTAAAACAGAGAAAAGTTATAATCTGTGTAAGATAACAAGCAGTGGAGAGAGAAATAGAGAGAATTGGGGATTACAGTAGGTGACACACTAGAAAGAAAAGAAAGAGGGAGAGAGAAGGAAGGAATGGAGTGAGGGAGTGAGCAAGCTTCAGACAGAGTGGCGCTGCCTCAGCCTTGGGGCCTGTCTGGGTGCAGAGCCTAATTAAAAAGCCTCGCACATTCACACAGCGCCATAAAACCGCTGGGAGAGATGAAAGGGAGGGCCCCTCCACAAGGTGTACTGTAACCTCAACACAACAGCTGTCTGAGAGAGAGAGGGAGAGAGAGGGATGGGAAACGAGAGGAACAGGAGGGGTGGACAATGGAAACGGAGGAAGGGGCTCTGCAAAAAGGATGAGTGTGTGGTGTGTGTGTGTGTGTGTGTGTGTGTGTGTGTGTGTGTGTGTGTCTGTGTTTGTGTGTGTGTTTGTGTGTGTGTGTGGACTGAACAACACTGCTTTTTTTAGGTCAATACCAATATCAAATTTTAAAAGTAGAAAAAGGGATTTTATAGATTTAGAAAATAAACTTGTCAGTGATCTCTGGACTAACTCTAACTTTTTATTACTCATTGGCAAAAAGAAACAATAATAGTGATGTGTGATAAGATAATTAATTTAGACAATCTATCAATTTGAAGTTATGGAGCCCAAAAGCAGAGGAGGATAAAAAAAAACGGGGTTCAAATATTTCACCTATTTATTATTTTGTCAATTTATGTCATGATCCCAGGTTATGGAACAAATTAGTGAAAGCGTATTAAAATGATGTTTCCATTATTACTCATAATGGGAAAACAGCTCAATATGCATATGTGTGTGTTTCTGTGTGTGTGCATCCCCATCCCTCAGACTGGCTGTTAGGATTCCACAGGCTCACTAACTGCATTCCTGACAGGTAAAGAGGGAGGGGTGGAGGACAGGAGACAGGTTGGCTGGAAAAGCAAATGAAGGAATGTTGTCTCTCTCTCTCTCTCCTCCTCCTCCTCTCTGTTTTTTTTCCTCCTTCACCTTTGCTCTATCACTCCGCAGTTGTTCTGAAGGTCTCAGAGACCTGCAGATAGGTAGAGCTGCACACACACGCACACAAACAGTGCCGAACCAATTTCAAGCCTCGATTGAACCTGTTTTCCAGCTGACGAGGTGACACCAGAGGTCATTTTCTCCGCCCCAATGTCTCTACATTCGATCAGCTGAGTGATCTCTGTTTATGTCGCCCCCCCACTTCTCTCTCCCCTTGTTTTAGTCCCATTTCAGTTTGACTTCGCTCCTCTGACTCCAGAGTGTTCCACGTCAACTAGTTGCACATTAAACAGCCTTTTATTTTGATAGTCTAACTTCCTTCTGTATTTCATTTCGAGCCGAAGATGTGAAATGCGTCAGTGCTCGATTACAAGTCCAAATAATATATAACGTAGGAGATAAGATGAATAACGTCCTCTTCCTTTCAACCGACTGCTGAACATGTAAACTACTGTTTTACTGTCATCTGTCCATAATCTAGCTTTCTTAAATGACGTGATTTAGGTAAATAATCTGCAGCAACAAGTCTTAAAGTTAATCTCAAAATGAAGCTTAATCCTTGTGGCGCCGCGTGTGAAGTAACTGCTTGTTATTATCTTCCCTGTGCTGAGAAGCCGGCGATTTTCTGGCTCGTTTGAACTGGAAACCATCACTGATGCACAGGAAACTGATCGGCACCATCAAAGCAGAATGACGATTTGTTGACATGACGTTTCATTGGTCTGCCACGTCTCAAGGTCAGTGAAGCGCTTCATTCTCAGGATATTGATGCTAAAAAATTATTCTTCCAAATTTTTGTCCGTCACAACCACGCTGGCAGAAACCTCACGATATAAGACAAACTATAAATTACAATCCAGCAGTGTTGTGATATAACAAAGTACATGTAGTTCAAAACTTAAGTACATTCTTCCTGTACTTCAGGTACTTTTCACGTATATCAGCCACTACAGAACTTTCTACTCTACTAAATTTTCACAATACATTGTGTTACATGTAGATTTGTTTTACTTATTAATTAAAAAGTAATCAATAACAAGAAGGAAATTGAGCCACTCATCCAATCAGAGCGGGCAGGAAACATTAGACCCTGCCTCCCCCGCAGCATCGTCACTTGTAATGAAACATCTGAGGTGGATTTGGAAGAAGCCGAGACTCAGACAATATATTATTATTATTACATAAATTATATATATTAAAAAGAGATATATAACAGAGTAAGCACATACATTTTTGTCTATTTATTTGTACTTTTACTTAAGTAAAATGTTGCAGCCCAACAATCATAAACTCATTTGTTTTTGCTGTCTCTGAAAACATTACAGAGGTTGTGACAGAAAAACTCTCACTCCTCATTTTTCTAAAAGGTTTCAAACCATCTCTCAGGAGCAGCAGGAGTGGAACCATCTCAGCTGCATGTGCGTCACAGACACCGCGTTAGTTCACAGCAGATCTAATAACCACATACTGAGGACTGAGACGTCCTCGTATTAGAAATTATGATACATTTGTTCTGAAGCTGTTTCTTACAAAAACACCAGGACTGAATCTACATTTTTCCTCTTTTCCAAACGGATCTACACACGCTTGTCTGAAATTATTATCAACGCTCATAAACAATCACCTGAACCGACAGTGACGCAGCCATTCAATTAACTCAAGAGTAGAATGATTATGCTCCGTCCAATCACATGTAGACGCTGGTTTGAGGGTCAAGAGAGCAAGACGGTTCAAGTTCTGCACAATTATGAGCCCCACTCCCAGCTGTCACGACGTCGTCACACTCTGGCTGACTCCAAATGTTTTCACTAACCACAGTATTTGCACCGCTGAGTGTAAAAACATCAGCAGACTTCTGTGCAACGGCCTTTTTGAACTGCGGGGGCAAACGTTTGTGTGAATCCACAGCAAGCGTGTGTGTGTGTGTGTGTGTGTGTGAGTTACAGTAGTTAGGGATCGCTGTGATTGGTGGGTTGAAGGCAAACCTCAAGGGAGTCTTAGGTAAGCAACGGCAGCTTGCTCAAGGTGTACGTGAGGCGTGTGTGGTGTGTCTGTGTTTACACGTACACACGCACATACTGTACATACACGCAGGTATTCCGCCTGCCCACATACAAACATGGGTTATGTGGGATAAGAGACAGACACATTCCTGTGGTGTCCCTCAAAGGAAAGGGAATTCCCAGATCCTGAATAATAACACGCTCCTCTAATGAAAATCCACAGAAATGTTTTAATATGTGTCACGGGACCCTTCGCACATGACTTATGGAGCGGCTGAATGCAAAGCAAAGGCGAAAATTCATCTTTGCTGCCTGTCACAGCCAAGTATGAAAGTATGAAAACTGTACAGTGACTGTAAACTTTTTTTCTCACCACCGGCCCACTTGGCCACTAGATCAGAGCATTACTGGCCCCTTGTTTATTTCCATGAGTCCTGCAGCCAGAAAATGAAAATTACTCTTTATTTTCCCGTAATTTCATCATTTAATAATCATAACAACCCTGAACTTCAACACTGAGGGTTAAAAAGACATTTCAATCTCTCTTTTACATTGTTAGACATTAGTTATATTTTTACATCATCAAATTATTTATATTATTGTTGTTGATTTCTGTCCTTCTTGAATAGGGTGTCTGTCCACAAATGTGGCAGGGATGGGAACAATAAATAAAACGCACCCTTCCAGGAACTTGACAAGTAAGTAAATGACAACTCAAACAACAGTTCTACTGATTTCTTTCCATCCTTCCTTCCTTCTTTCATCAATCTTTAGTTCTCTGCTTTATTAACACAACACAGTGTCTCACATGAGCCTAATCCTAATTTCTCTATTCTCTGTCACTCACTGACTGGAACAGTGACTGTTTGGTTTGTGTTGCTGCTAAAATGCAGCCAAATTGAAATTAATTGCATCCATTTAAAAGAACAAATGTCCTGAGTGGCAAACCAGCGAGAGGAGGAAGACCCACTCTCTGAGTCAAACCCACTGTACCTGCAGTTAGGTTAAACTACCCAGTGATCCACAATGATGTGGCTTGCAGCAAAGAGTTCAGCTTGTCAGTGACTCAGTGACAGAACTGTTTAGTCTGCTGCTCTGAGTCAGGGGATTTTTAAGATTTCAACACAACAAACACAAACTGTGTTGTTACCTCTTTAGTTGGTTTCTCTGTTAGTTAGCGGGATTACACAAAAACTACTGGACGAAACTAAATGGAAAGATGACACACACACACACACACACACAGAATATTCATATACCCAGTAACAGAACTCACCACCAACATTTCCAGACACAGTCACACATGTGGTTAGAGACTGAATTTAACAAAGTTGCTCACCTGCTGTAGTCAGCTTCATCCCTGACACACACACACTTTCTCTTTCTGCAGCCCCTCAAAGTCCACATTCAACCCCCCAAACATCCTCTCTTTAACACACACACACACAATAAGAAAACAATACCTTGGTGCTCCAGAGTTTGACAGTCCAGTCGAATGACGATGTGATGAAGAGGTGGGAGAAGTCAACCGTGCCCACTGCGCTGTGACAGCTGATGCCCGTAACCGGCCCCTGGTGGCCCTCGAACATCTCACAGATACCTGCCTTACTACAGAGGGATGACAAAAATCCATAACTTCTATGATCAACAATGCAGTGAGAGGGTTTGTGTCTCACTGGAAAAACAAATCTACAGCACATAAATGGGATTTGATTGAATTAAAATGATTGACTCTTTAAATTAAATACATTTTCCTTAAAACAAGCAAAACATTCTGTCAAGTGAAACCATTTAATCTCAGTCCAAATGTAATGTTTCAGTACAAAGCAAAATCCACACAGTTATATAATTGCTTGAGAAAAACCTCAACATGCCTTGGCTTCCTAAATGTTTATTTTTACAGTTATTTTAGTGTAACACTGTAACTCTAGAACATGAAAATTGACAAAATGAAATAAAGACTAAAAAGCCCCAGTAAACACTCACTATACAAATATATGTGTCACTCTGTTTGAGTGTTCCTGTGTGTGTGTGTGTGTGTGTGTGTGTGTGTACCAACCTGCCATGTCTGGATGCAGTGTAAACTGTGCCCTCCTCACTCCCCACCACATAGTTGTTAACGTCTCCCGTGGGGAAGGCCATGCCTGTCACCGCCACCGGTTTGGATTTATTGTACACCAGTTCCATGGTCTCCTACACACACACACACACACACACACACACACACACACACACACACACACACATCAACAGTTAAAGAAAATACTGTACACGTGGAACTGCAGGTCTGATTTATCAGTTTTTGGTGACAACTTCTTCAAAAGTAAAAAAAACAAGAGAAAAAATGTCCTTTGCACCACGTTTTCTGCCTGAATGTCCTCTATGATCCACATGTGAACTCAGCTCTAGAGGAGGATATCAGAGGATCAGTTTAAATGAGGCTGTTTTGAGTGAAATTTGAATGTTGGGGCTTCCGGACACTTGGATGTATCCACAGGAGCAGTATGGAGGCGTGTTATGTTTTTTTTTTAGGTTCAAAGAATCGGTCGCCATTGACTTCAATTGTATTGGATTTGGCTGCAACACTGTTTACCCCTGAAACTCCAAAAGTGTTTAGTGGACTCAGACACTTCACCCCCACTCCATCGGCATAGTGGTGAGTAGATAATGTGTGAGTGGACTGTGTGTTGTGTTGTGTGTACCTGTGGCTGCGACAACATGTCCAGACTCCAGGAGCACATCCTGCCGTCCGTGGACACTGTGATCAGGTTGTTGGCATTCTGGGTGCCGACCACGTTCACGCAGTACACCGGGTGCTACACAAACACACATGAACACACATGGATGATATGAATGGGAATGCAAACTTGTGCCATTATACCTGTAATATAAACATCATCTGACTCACAAATAATCACAATTATTCCTACTGAAATGGTGACGATCATAAATCATAATCATCAGTGAGATTAGAGGCATTAAGATTTCTCTGTCTTGTGAAATAATATTTGGATGATTCAGGCTTTTCAGGCCTGAGCAAATGAAATAAATGAATCATTTCATTTGCTCATATTTATAAAAACAGTTCGATGTTAAACATATTCTTGATCACATCATTTTAAGCACATGATGTTATTAGTAAACACCTGTCAGTGCCACTGTGTAGTCGTCCTTTCGAGTGACTGAATGTCTGGGACACGCACCGTTGTCCACATCCACAGGAGTGTGTGAAACCATTATGTCATTACTGGGTAGTAATTGATTTGTGTACTGGGCTGAACAAAGAATCCATTCAGCAATCAGGGCCATGTTAGCTGTCTGGACTCAGTGAGAGAGGAGAGGACGAGCCCAGCAGCCTCATTACTGTCCACAGAAACTTAAACCTACAGCATGCAGCTATGTGTGTGTGTGTGTGTGTGTGTGTGTGTGTGTGTGTGTGTGTGTGTGTGTGATCTGTAATTATAAACAGCTACAGCTTTTAGGATATTGATAGTTTGTTGGTCAGTAATTTGTCAAGAGTCTAGACTGAGCTGTTTATCTGAAGTATGACTGCTCCCATGAACCTTGTGTGTATGTGTGTGTTTGTGTGTGTGTGTTTGTGTCTTTTGTAATAATAATCTCAAAGCTGCAGATTTCATTATTCGTCATGAAAATCTGTGATTTTGTCTAATCCTGCTTTATCAAATACATTAAAATATGATTACATGTTGTATTCATTAGATTGCCCCCCACCACACACACACACACACACACACACACACACACACACACACACACAATCCTGATCATCACTAATCTTTTTTTAATGTAAAACTCTTCATACCTACCATCTACCAACCATACCGCGGGATATTTTTCCCCGAGTCATGCATGTCTAATCACGTTGTTAAAATCAATCCGTAACCAAAGTGGCGAGAGCTTTAACTCGTAGTTTTTAACTCAACACTTCGTCGTGTTGCCACAAAATCACTGTAATATGTTGTTTTTAATGCAAATAATTAGAGCGCACCAGGGAGTTCTTTTTCCGAAAGGTCAAAGCTTATTTCAGCATTTCAAATCAGCTGCAACTTGAGCTGAAACTGACAATTAATTTTAATTGTTGTAACTTAATTAATTAGCCAATAAAATGCCAGAAAATATTTTTCAGTGACTGAAAAACCATAAAATTCCAAATGTTCATGTACATACACCAGCCTCCACTTCTGGGTGCTTTACAGCAGCAGATACATGTACACATGTTGACAAATACATTAATAAATTTCTAAAACAGTAAAATATCTGTTGTTTTCTGTTTTGATTTGAAGTCAGCTCCAGATTTAGACTATATGTTACACTGATACAGGGATCCAGCCTTACAGTATGTGCAGCAGCAGACAGGGGAGTCCTCTGGACGGGCGTCCGACGGTGACTGCGGTTGTCCCACAGCACAATCTGCCCCGAGTACGTACCCCCCACCACCAGGTTGGGATGAAACCTAGCGAAGCCCACAGACACCACTGGAGACTGAGGAAGAGAGAAGAAGAGAGAGGGGGAGAGGATGAGAGATCCACTGAATGTTACTGTGGTGTGAGGTTATTTTATTGGAAAGTTTAAGGAAAACGTTTATCATGAACTGACAGAAGGAGGAAGATGGTGAGTAGAGGAATAGTTTGCTCAGATAAGACGTCAAGATAAAACAGGAGACGGTGAGAAAAGAGCACAGAAACATATGAAGCGAGGACAGTAATGCTAGACGGAGCATGAGTGAGAACGAGTGATCAAGGCGTCGTGATGGGTGGCAGACATGGGGGGAGACAGACGGAGAGAAGGAGATGATGAGTTTGGCTACGGAGAGGGTCCGCCGAGGAGAGGGGAGAGGGCTGATGCTGGGGCGGAGACCGGACAAAGAGGGGAATTGTAGTCTTCTTTCCCGCAGCCGTTTCACATTACAGCATCAAAACCCCAGCAGCCACTGGAGCGCTCACTGTAGCCTCCATCATGACAAGCGCACCCTTGAACTCCATCCCTCCCCAGTGACCGTGTTTATTGAGTTTTGGTTCCTCATCGCTGCTTGTCCCATATGGGCTCCTGTGTGCATCAGCTCGCCTCTCCTGACCCAGAGCCACCGGAGCATCAGTGCTGAGGAGTTATGAGAAAAAGTTTCAGCTACGTGGAGCGACAGGAGGGCGAGTGGTGTTGTGCATTGACAAATTTGAACCTCCATCCATCCATCCATCCATCTGGTAAAGCAGCACATTAAGTTAATTTACAGGATCGACGGGGCCAAGAGAGCAGTCAACAAGAAGCTCCGAGACACAAATCACAATTAAAAACAGTGAAACTATAACAACATGCAGGGATCATTTCGCAAAACGAATTGTTGCCTAATGCAGCCGTAGATATTGTTGACAGGTTTAGTGTTCCCGAAAATGATATGTCACACATTGTGTTGTTATGACAACAGCTCTGAGACTGTGTCTGGAGACAATCTTGTCATTTATTATCTGAATCCTCCCAGTAAATCAGTGCATTAACAAAGCGATGACGACGTGTGATTTATTTCAAATGTGCTAAAGCTTAATGATACTTACAGTTGTAATAGGCTGTTAAATAGATCGTCACGCTAAAGTGAACATGAATTTAAGAATTTGATTCGAACCAGTTACACGTTTATATTTGATTAATCTCTATAAACAGATTCTACATGTGAATATAAAGAATCTGAAGGTGATGGAGAAGATTTCGACCTAAAACAATTAGAAAATGTTTTGAAGTATTTGACTGATGTGATATAAAGAAACTAGTCAGACTGTAAACAAAGGGAACCTAAGATGGAGTCCCCCGTCTACACTGGCAGCTCCAAAATATTGGCCGTTGCCTCCAGCGGCTAATTCTTCTTGAGATGATACCTGATGGGCTCCAAGACTGATCTTTGATTAACTTAATGATCACTATAATAATCCTTATTGGTTAGGAGTCAGGAGTAAAAAATCATTAATGGTGCTAAATGTAGATCAACATCTCAGATTTTAGCATCAACTTTAAATTCATCAAAACATTTCTCTGCCTCCTGAAGCCTGGCTCTAACTTCATGTTTCTACTTCATCCTCATCAACATTCACCGTCAGTTGAGATCATACTTTATTTGATAATGAGAAATGTCAGAGTAACAGCAGAGTGATGATTTATTATCACATTATATTTGAGAATAAGTGTGCAGCATTGATGGATGAGGTGTGTGTGTGTGTGTGTGTGTGTGTGTGTG